TTCATTGTTTTAACCTCTTTAAGTCGTTTTTTACCTTTCTTTTGCTTGTTGTTTTCTTCCTCATTGTTCTTCTCCTCATTGTTCTTCTCCTCATTGTTCTTATCTCCCGAAATTTGTGATATACCCAAACTAAAACTTGGAATTTCATTCGTAGAATTAGAAGACGAAACTTGAAGCTTCTTTCGATTTCTTCGATAAACTTTTGGATTCGAAGCCGTCACTAGACGCGGACTTCTTCTAAGACCTTCTTCCATTAACGATAATATGTTTTACTTTGTTTAAAATTTGTATAAAAAAGGAATAAATGGGTTTTAAATTGTTTTAAGTTAATATAGCTAAAAGTTGACAAAAATGGTAATAAATAAAAAGTGTACTTAAAATTGGTAATTATAAAATAAAAGGTCTTTGTTTATGTAATTTTTCCAAAAAAAAGAAGAAGTTGATGCCACTTAAAATACATCTAAAATTTCGATAAAAGTTAAATTTAACATTATTTTAAAAAAAGAAATAATTATTAACAAGAAAGAAAGACCCTTGATTAGTTTTATAAAAACAATTAGTTCCATTTAACTACCAATGTATTTTTCCAGCATACACCATGCCTTTATTTATGCCCCACTAAAGTGGGATAGAAGTCTGATAATGTGGGAGAGTTTCAATGGAAGCAAAACAGAGAACAAAGACTTTTAATTTAGTGATGTAGAGCACAATCATTAAAACAAAGGAAGAGGAAAATCTACTCAGGATTAATAGAGATATCTCGTCGTAGCTCAAAAAAAATTAGAATAAACGACGCAAGGAGATGAGTTTTTACTTTGAACTTTGTCCTTATAATAGAGAATGAATACGTGATGTTAGAAAGATATAGTTTTGGCACGATAAGAAGCTATGTCATTCCCATCCAAAAGACTGACTCTATAACGACCCATTATGCCCTTTTGAGTACTAGAATTTCTTATTTAATAAATGACTTCATGTACATTCTAAATGAGTAGCTTTGACTATTTATAAGTATGATTATATAATTAATGGGGTAATTTTTAGGATTAAATAATTAGTTGGTTAAAGAAAATAACTTTTAAATTAGTAGGACAACTTTCGGAACTTTATTGTTAATCATGTATAATAATAATGGTAGTAAATAATTTGTATATAAGAAATGAGAAAAAGGGAAACACTCATTGATTAGGAGAGAAGATAATCGAGAATTCGGTAAATCAATATGCCCCTAGATCTTTAATATATTAGATATATGGGTTGGATGATATTAATATATTAGATTGGAGGGCATGTAATTGCTGATGTGAATTTGAATTGATGCACTACAATGTGTTACTACTATGCATGTCTTTTACCAATATGTTTACAACTATCAATTCAATGATGTTTGTCATTAGAGAATTCAATCATTAAGATTGACTTATGTAGTTTTGATTCATTGTAAATAATTTAGGTTTGATAGAGTGTGTTTTCATAAGTAGGTGATTTCAATATTATTATTTTGTTATCATATTATACTTAAGTTTTCATATATTGAGATATATACTAATATATTCAATGTATTGTATTATATGAATTTCATTAAAGTTATTTTACATGGAAGAATTGAGACTTTACCTTAGACTTGAATATGTAGGAACAAACGATGTAGTGGATCATGTGAAATCTTCCATGCATCTGACTAGACAGTAAGATTTAAGTGATAAACCATGGTGGACAGATAATTTCTAGACAATTTTCTGTCAAAAGTGCTTGGAATACTATCAGAGAAAGAGAGAGGAGGAAAATGATTCTTATTAGAAGATATGGGTACAATGTATCCCTTTAATAGCTTCTTTATATTGTAATGTGTGGGGAAAATATACCATTTGGTACTTTAATGACACAATGGAATCCTAATGTTTCTCATTTATGTGGTTGCTGCAAGGTTCTAGCTGATGAGACTGTTGATCACTCACTACAAAAAGAAGAAGTAACATATTCTTTATGGAGATATTTTGCTGGTGCAGCTGGTCTTTTGGGACCATGGGTTCACGAGAAATATTTTTTGATGAAAAGGTGGAATGCTAAAGGTAATTCTAGACAAAGATAATATTTAATGAAATTTCTTATTGTTTCTTTGGAAAAGGAGAAATACAATTTTGCATGGTCCTTCTTACTATACTAACAGAGTTATTTGTGCTGTTACACTACACATATTTTCATCAAGTCGAAATCTATTTATCTCAATATTTCGAATAATTGATCTCAGATGGTTGCTCTATAGGATAGTTTCAGGCCTTGTTTTACATCTAGAGTGGTAAGGTTGATTTACCTCCTTTGGGATTGTTAAAATGTTACACTGGGGCATCAAGAGGTAATCCTGGCGCTATCACTATTGAATTTTCTGTTAGGGATTCTTCTAGCGATTTGGTGGTAGCGGGGAGGCTTAGGATCCAAGAAACAACAAACATAGTAGGTGTAGCTATGGTTTTGAAGGAAGGACTTAAATATTTTCTGGTAAATGTTTTTCACCGGTTAAAATGGAATCAAATTCTTTATCAATGATTTATATGTGGAACAAAGATCGGATTGTTCCTTGGAAGTGACTTTGGAAGTAAATTCATTGATGACAACAATAGTACTACACACCTTAAGGGAGGGAAATACTCTTGGTAATTACTTCACTAATTTAACTTCTAAATTTGAAGGTACTTTTGAATGTAAACCTTTTCAAGATATACAAGTTGCAAGTAGAAGAATCATCAATACAGATAAATATGATATTCCTCATCTTAGGATAGGACAATCTATACCTCTGAAGGTTCACTGGTTGTTAATAAGCTTATTCTAGTAGTTGGTTATGTACTCATTACCTTATCTAAATTAGATTCTATTGGTTATATATCATTCACCTAGTGAAATCTTTGAGGTGTCTTTTATGATTAAAAAAACATGATGAGTGAATTTGTATTTTCTTTCTAATAGATAGTTTATTGACCAGTTCACTTACGAGTTTAGTTGGACATTCTGACTACCAATTGTGCTGATCTCATATGAGTATGGTGTAGATGCTGTAGAGTTTTAGCATCATATTCAACCTCCTTCATTAGTATCTCTTCTCATAGATCCAAATCTAGATGGTGGAATTCATCCTATGTATGGATCAATCCATTAGATTGGGATTGAAGGGCAGGGATTACTAATATAATCTAGGATGATCGAGTCCCATTTTTTGTTTGTAGAAAAGGGGGAATTGATAATTACTAGATAAGAAATTCATAAAGAAGTTTATCTAATTTACTTACCTTTATGAATGAACTAGGGATATGCATCAGCTCATTGGCTCATCAAGGAGAGGTAGTTGCATAGAGATCAAGATTAGACAAAGCTATAGTTGAAGAGGTTTATGCTTAATCTTAACAGAATGGATCCTCTTACCTAAGCTTATCTTCAATGAAATCTTGAACGACGATACAAAGACGATGATAAGGCTTAGATCAACCTGATCTGACAAGCATCAAGCCTCATATTTTTATCTAAACGGGATTTCCTCTTTATTATTTATTACGTTTAAGTTATTTTACTTTATTAATTTGCAGGACAAGATCTCAGTTAGGCCTGTTCATTTTGTTTGCTTCTTTTGTGTTCATAAAAAATTGTCTTTTGCCCACCTTAAACCCAAAAAAAAATTGTTAACGCCTCTTAAAATACATCTCTAATTTTTGTAATGGTTAATTTTAAAATCAATTTTAAAAAAAATATATATTAAGAAAAAAAAGACCCTTGATTTTTTTTTAAAAAAAATTAGTTCTATTTAACTAGCCGTGTATTTTCCCATCTACACCATGCCTTTATTTATGTCCCACTAGAATTAGATAGAAGTTCAATAAAGTAAGAGAGTTTCAATGGAAAAGTAACACGGAAAAAAGACTTCCAGTTTAGTGAAATAGAACACAATCATTGAAAGGAAGGAAGAGGAAAGTCTACTTCGGTTTAATAGAGAATCTCGTACTAGTTCAAAAAAGAAATAAAATTAATGGGGAAAGGAGATTAGTTCTTTCTTTGAACTTTTTCGGTAAAAAGAGACTGTGATGGTGATCTTAGACAACTATCTTTTTTTGAACAGCAACTAGCTCAGTCAGTTCCCTCCAATAGACCGACATTATTTCGACCCATTAGGTCGTTTTGAGTACATCGTGTACATTCGATTGTTTATGTTTCTGCGATTTTATCGTCTCTGGTTATAATGAACATATACACATATAGTATATATATCCATTGTTATAAATATAATTATTGTATCGCTTTGAAAGAATTCATATTTTAATATTATATAACTTAAAAGTACTACATATAAGCTTAGATATTATATATTTTTAAATAGATATGAAATTACTAACTTATCAAATGAAGAAATTCACTATACAAGTTCAAAAGGGATAATTTCTTTTACGTTCAAGTTTACTTTCTTATTCGAATATGCTAACAAAATTTTGAATTTTTTCCTAAGACATATATAACAATTCTTTAATCTATGCAACTTAAATATTTCTTTTTATTACGAAATTCATTTGTATAGATATTCTTATTTTCTTCATTACTTTCTTTTTAATGTTTATTAAAGAATAAATGAATTATTATTTCTTGAATAATTCATTCATTCGACTTTCTTGAGTTCTATGATAATGACAAATAATCAAATTAATTTTGGCATATTGAAACCTTTTTAAGAACCTATTTTTTAGTAGTTTTGATGTACTTAATATTAGTAAATAAGTAAGTTGCAAGTTCAATGCAATTATTACAGGAAAAATACCTAGTTATATAATTAATAGTACTCTCTATAAACTCCAAAGGTTTGACAAAACACTAATTAATTATTCTGGAAGAAAAATCCCTATAACTTGAAAGTCATTATATCAATATTATATTAAGGACAAGTCTAAGAACAAGAGATACAACCCCCAAAACTAAACTTACACCTTAAACAAATGGTCTGAGTCCGAAAAGAGTTGACTTTAACAGGAGAGATGCACAACATCCTGAGAGAACTTGTTAACCCTTGAATCTGGTCTCGCTCCATAGTCACCTTGTTGAGGTCTATCAATAGCTGCCTGAAGATGATTTGTACTCAACAAAAATAAGATCAAGTGCATAGTATCGTGTACTGGTAGGATCACACGAGTTTTCCATTTAGTGTAACATAAGTAAGTCAATACAATATTCCAAACATGCACATACAAAAAATATATAATAGTGATTATCACATGCTCAAACACTATTAATTTATATTCATTGGTCCTCTCATAAAAGTCAAACTATTAGCATACAAAATTGTGGTACTTGATTCAATATTTACCGGAACATGGTTCTTGCAACATAGGATTTTCTATATTTAATTCAAACTACAAAAGTTGTGGTAGTCAATAAAATACATGAATATATTTCCTCTTTTTTTTCTGTAGATCTTCCGGGAAATCAAGACATCTTTTATAGACTTGAACATATTTTGGTTAAAGTTATATTTAATATTTTTTTGAAAAAAAACATGTCATTGTATGGCTTCTATTGGTTTCACATACTTTATTTTGTCTGTACTTCAAGTGTTAACGAAGGCCGAATAAGGAAAGAATCACTAGTAATCAATTGAATTTTTTTCATTATACCAATGTGTTAAATGTGGATATACCTAATTGAGCAATATACAAATTCATGTCTTTTTATGTTGTGTTGAAATCACGAAGCCATGAAAGTTTTATTTTTAAATTCTCATTGAACTGTTCCTTATTAAAAATATTAGTTGTCTGCTTGTTTTTTTTTTTTGGATTTCTTTCATCTTAGTATGAAAGAAACAAAAAATGATAGTTGATTATTCGGAAAAAAATTAGTTTTCATTAAATTGATGTGTTGCATCTACACTATTTACATGGCAAATCAAATATATAATTGTCATAGTTATTAAAGTTTATTAAGCACTACAATAATTTTAAATCATGAACATTCAGAAGAAAATAAAATTAAAAACATTGCAGTGTCGTAGTAGTACATCAAACACCTTACGTAAAAATGAGGTCACTAATGATTTTGGTCCTGTAAGAACTATAACTTATGCAACAGATTGCTCTAGAATATTCTATATAAGACCAAAATCTCATCTTATCGGTATGGTACAAAATATTTTTGATATTTATTATTCCTTTGATGGGAGCGTAGTTGTTGTTTTCGCTAATGGAACAAACATATTCTATGTATCCATTGTTTCAAGCAATACTTTTTCCTTTTAGACTTAACTAGGAATGTTTACCGAGTTTTTATTATTATTAACGTGTATTTTATAGCACTACACCCCATGATTGCCGGAAGTGAATCATGCTTATGATCGTATGACATTATCACCGAGTCTTACCAATTTTATGAACTTAAATTTTATTTCCCCTTCTCTTTCTTTTCTTTTCAATTATATCTTTACATATCTAGTTTAATTTTAAGTTTTATGACATATTAATGGACAAAAAATAGTATGTGTATTTCTTCTAAAAATTTATGATCTTGAATTTAGGATTTGTTCTCCCTTCAAGACCAAATTGAAAATGTCGTCAATACAAGATTGAGTTAGGAAGTCATTTTTGAAAGTATGAATCACATCATGTATCAGTCAACAAAAAGATCTATAAGTATGTTTATGGTGATACAAAAGTTATTTCAGCTTAAATGATATATCAACTTATCAGACCAACTTTTTTTCATCACTATCAAAACTCACTAACACCCAATTCCTCGGGTGTGTTTAGTTTTCATGGAAAATTCTTTCTTCAAAAAGAAGTGAATTGCGGTCTCAGTTTTCAAGAATGACGGAGCAAATTTGTATTGGTTCCACTGTTAAATTTTGAAGAACAAGATGTTAGATATCTTTTTTTCAAAAAGGAAAAGAATTAAGCTATCATTCTTGGTATACTTTTCAATCTAGAATTATAGGGTAAACATCGAATGTGATCCAGAATGAATGGCCAAATGAGGTACGTGATGCTTGTAATCAAATTAGAAGGAGAGCGTAACTAGTTTATAGGAACCCACACTGCCTAAAAAAGAATTAGTGGTTGAATCTGCGCCACATATACACCATTTCTCGATAAGATGCATGTCATTAAAGATTTTTTTATAATTTATAATAACGAACACATCGGTAGGTATACTTTGACAACCATGTTATTACTCGCATGAGGTTCGAAATAACAATAATGGGAGTCTGCATAAGTAATATAAAAATTATCGGCACATAGTACACATACATTAGCCATCCAACTATTAATAAAGATTTTTAGTTGGCAAGGAAAAACGAAATTGAGAACATTGGAGAATTGCATTGTCATTTGATGCCAATAAAATTCCCCCTAGACATCTACAGCTACACGATAAAGAGAATTTTTTCTAGTATTTTGTAATATTTACTCTTAAAATCTGATACGCTTTGAATTAGATTTAACATATAATATCCTACTACTATTGTCCCGATCACCTAACAATGCTTAATATACGCAACGAGTATAAAAGCAGTTTGAACTGGAAAATCTTGTCATATTAAACATCATTCTCAGGTGGATACTACATGTTATTTTACATTCTTCTGCTAGAAGTTTTCCCTAATCACTCTTTTAAGATATTGGCTCCTAAAATATATCCCATGTTTCGATAATGGTAAAGTTTTAAATGAATTTGTTTTTAGTTCCATATCCTCTGGTACCCATGGAATGTACTTCTCAAATTCGACTTATTCCTTTCCTCGCTCCTATATTGTGCACATTCAATTACGAAATTATCAAGGTAGGTATTAACTACATAAATGCAAAACCCCTCCACTAAAATAAGTAATTCAAGTATAAAAATTCGAATAAATGGATGATTTAAAATTAAAAACTAAGATTGACAAAAGAAAAATATTCGATCAGTGGTAAGGCATCCTCCAATTTCAAGAACAAGAACTACAAAATCAATGTCAGTTATAAGATTAAGAGCTATCCTATGCTAGTTCAAAGGCAAAAATTAAATCAAATAAGAGATGCTCGACAAAAATAGCACCTAATTATTTCTTCTTTATCATTCCCCACCTGCCACATAATGTCCAATTTCTACTCCTCCGTGTATTTACCATGAGATGTTAGAGTCAGGGTGTATAATTTTATACATTAATATTTATTTTTTTTCATTAAATGTTTGTAATTCTTTACAAAGAGCATTAGTGCCTCAAATATATTTGATTTACCCTAAGCATAATCATGTTGGCGAACCTTTACTTTAACTTTCACAAATTTATCAATTATCTCTACTATATTTGTGGAAACCCTTGTGTTTTCCACAAGTATTGAAGGAATAATTGATAAATTTTTCAAAAGGAAATGAGAGAATCGTCAACATCATTATGTTGAGGGAAAGTTAAATGGCTTTGAGGCATTAAAACATCTCCATAAAGATTTTGAAGTATTGAACGGGAAAGAAAACAAACGAATACTAGTTTATAAGTTTATGCACCCGGGATCAGAAATACTTCCAGATAAACACATTGATCACAAAATTATCCAATTTTCGATAATTTTAAGGTGATAAATCTTTTCATTGTTATTAAGTCGACTCTAGTTTTTCTAAAGTCATCCATTTATATAATGGTTTCAATCACAAAATTATTGAAGTTTTTTTGAGTTCTTATGAAATTAATGAAGTTTTTTGGGTTTCATACTATATATTTATTATATCATAAATTGTTTAAATAATTAAATCAATTGAAGTCTTTTTTAAACTAGTGAACAATGAAAGTAAAGCATCAAAGAGAAAAGATAGCAATGTACGTAGACTTAAGTATTTAAATATAAAAACATTCCACTAAAATAGCTAATTCACGTATAAAAATTCGTCTAAAGGGATGAGTCGATCATAAAAATATAGATTTACCATATTAGAAGATTCGATCATTGGTAAGGTTTCTTCCAATTTAAAGAATACCAACTACCAAATCAATGTAAATTATAAGCTCAAGAACTTTCCTTTTCTAGCTCAAATACAATAATTAAATCCAATTTTAAATGCTCGACCAAAGTAGAACCTCCTTATTTCTTTTTTATTATTCTCCACCTTCAACTTAATGTCCAGCTTCTACTCCTCCGTGTAATTCTCATGAGGTGTTTATGAGTCAGGGTGTATAATCTTATACATTTTTATTTGTTTTTCTCATTAAATATTTATAATGTTTTACAAAGATCTTATTGCCTCAAAGCCATTTATTTTCCCTGAGCATAACCATTTTGGCTATCCTCTACTATCACTTCAAAAAAATTATCAATTATCTCTACGATACTTGTGCAAAACATTGTATTGTCCACAAGTATAGAAGATATAATTGATAAATTTTTCAAAACAAATCTAGAGTATCCTCAACGTGTTTCTGTTGAGGAACTATCAAATGTCTTTGAGGAATTTGAAAATCTCTATACAGATTTTGAAGAATGCAACGAGAAATAAAACAAAAGAATGCTAATTTATAAGGTTATGCACCCGGGATACGAAATACCCCAAATAAACACATGGAGGAACAAAAGTTGTGAATAAAGTCGTGGTTTGGGAAGTTCAAGAAGAAACAAAAAGTTCTACTTTTGTCGAGCATTTAAAGATAAATTTAATTGATTTACCTAAGATTAAAATGGAGAAGATTTGTTGAACTCATAATTTTCATGGAGTTGGTAATTGGAGTTCTTGAAATTGGAGTTATGCTTGGAAATTACTTAACCAGTGGTTGAAACTTTTAATGTGATCAATTCTTTTCCTTGTTTTTAAGTTACTTGTCGTTAATCTTCTGTCATCCATTTTTGCAATTTTTTAGATCACAAAATAGATGGTTTTGGAGTTCTTATAAAATTACGTAAGTTTTTTAGTTTCTTTGATCTTTAATATTTTTGATATTATGAGTTGTTTAAATTAGTAAATAAACTGTAGCCTTTTTTAAACTAATCATCAATGAAAGTGATGGATCAAAGAGAATATTCATGCACTAATTAATGTTCAGTCATGGTTCTAACACTATGGAGATTGTTGCATCTACAAGTTACACGTGAGCTAGCTATCTATG